CCAGCGTAGTCTTGGGTGCAGTCATGAGGTTGTATTGCCCACCAAACACCATAGCTCCATAGATGGCTTAATTTGGTCTATTCAATTTGACTTAATAATTTAGTTTCTCCGTAAAATAATGGTAACCAATCCAAAGTTCATCATACCGAACTTTGATCATTGTTTTTGTACCCTTCTATCTGGCAACAAAACTGACACATTTTTTTGTTTTGTTGCCAGATAGAAGGGTAAAAAAACTATTATCATACTTTTTTTTACTGGCAAATGAGGTTCCAATGGTGTAAATACCAAACTTCGTTCGTAAAATATACGCACATCGAGGTATTGACTGAACGTGGGTTTGATTCGTAACTCGGGCACCTTTCTCTGCGTGGAATTTCCTCGTTCTCCTAGTGCTCTGCATGGGTCTCCTCCACAGTTCTAAACACATTCAGTGTCTTTGGGATTGGCCAAAGAGATCAATGCGGGACCCTCTTGAAAAAGTCAGCGAAATGCTGCTGAAGTAAATATAATCATGTGTTTGGTGGGGGAGGGATGTAAAGATTAGAACACCAGAATTGCTGTGCAGAGGTCAATTCAAATCACACCTCCGATTAGCACGGTTGGCTACGTTTGGTGCAAAAGCCATTCTGCTTTTGTCGAGATACATTTCTATACGTACAACAGCGATAACCCATACCTCTTAACCCCTTATCAGTTTACACCTTCTTACAGACCAATTTAGACCTTATTGGTCACCCCTTGCCCTTATACATATCAATGTTCATCCTGCAAGGTCCCATCACAAGCGAGAAATACAACCTAACAGACACAACATTTTTTTCCCATATTCAAACGGCTGTAAGCCGTATGGACCTGAGAACTCAATTTCACTGGACAACAATACGGGTAAATCGTATGGGTTGAAAGTTATGGATAACCTATTGTTCCACCGTTTTGTCCATGTGTTCACCGGTAATGTTATCCCAAGTAGGATATATGTATAGAGCTTTAATCAAAGCGCTTTACAAGAATTAAAAAGTGTACATTTGTTACTCTTTGGTTTTTTCGGTAAAGTCACGTATACGTGGTTCTTTCGTGACTTTACTGAAAGAACCAAAGAGTATTTCCTGCAGTCACGAAAGCTCCAAATTAAGTTTGTACATTTGTTATTGGCTGATGAGGAAATGGGGCGGGATAGAAGTGAATATCCTAATATATAATAGCCCAGATCTGTTATTATTTATTTCATTCTGTGCCTGTGATTAACGCGGCACGGATTGGTTGAAGTGCGTCACGTGACCGCGAGCAACAGACGGGTGTGTGAGAGTGAGGAGACGGGTGATTGAGAGTGAGGCAGAGCCGTGCTCCGTCCACTGCTGCCCTGAGGGACCCCCGTGCTCCCCACTGCTGCCCTGAGGGACCGCCCTGCTCTCCACTGCTGGCTTGAGGGAGAGCCGCGCTGTCTCCACTGCTGCCGTGAGGGAGCCAGACGTGCTCTCTCCGCTGCTGCCCTGAGGTAGAGCCGTGCTCTCTCCGCTGCTGCCCTGAGGGAGAGCCATGCTCTGTCCATTACATTAGTACTGCAGTTTTTTTGGTGCTTAAATCCACTGCTGAATGAATGCCCACCGCACGCTGTGCGAGTGGATCGTAAGGATTTACTTGACCAGTCTGTTGGGGGCCGCCGCAAGCTGTGGTTGTTGGGGGGTGCCGCAGGCTGTGGTTGTTCGGGGGCGCCGCAGACGCCTGATGAAGCTAGTCGTAATTACTGGCGAAACGTCGTACTCAGATTGTAAATGTGGCTTGGCTCTCCAACACACCGGTGTGCTGTACTAATGACTAATTAGCATGTTCTGTTTACGTGACAACCCTTACTAGTTGGCTGTGTCGGGTGGTGGCGGGTTTTAACGACACATTTATACATTTACGCGATCTAACCCAAAAACACTTCGATTATGGATGATATTGGTCACGAAAACCTACGTGTTAAACCAAAAATAATCCAGGCCGAAGCGTTTTGAATTTTCTGGAGGAGAGCCAAGACAGGAAGACCACGAAGAGAGGGACTTCAGTAATCGAGACAAGAAAAGAAGAGCGAATGGATGAGCATTTTAGCAGCGGAAATTGAGATGAGTGGGCAAATTTTCCAGATGTTGAAATGAAAACGACGTGCATGGGCTACGGTGGCGATATGTTTGGCGAAGGAGAGAGAGGGATCAAAGGTGACCCCAAGGTTTCCAGCAGGAGTGCAACACCAACATCGGTGCAGGAGTTGTCACTATACAGGATGGTGACCCGTTGTTGAGACTAGCGAGGGAGTCGCTGCCACGTGAGGTCAAGGCCAATAAACGTAACGTAATGCAAGTGGGCGCATCTCTTTGGATACGAATGTACAATGCACCATTCTTAAACCCAACACCGTGCAGCAGTGGATAGAGCCGTGGCGTCACAGCGCTCTGTTGCCACGCTGCACTGGAACGCGCCAAGCGTGTCGGCGTGCGCCTCTAACCCAGCTGCTTGGAGGAGGAGTGGGTTGCTGGATCACTTGAGGATGGGAGTCGTGCGCTGTGAGGCTCTCTATGCGAGCGTGCGCGTCTGTGGCAATACGAATGTGAATGAAACTCGAGAAATAGTCGCGTGGATGGACAAAAGGATTTGGGTCTCGCTGTGCCGGGCGGGTGCCCTGGGAGGTCTCTTCACAGGCGCTGTCCCACCGCTGATCGGCACGGGGTCTTTGGTCTGCTCCGTCTATGCCGATCGGGCGTCTGCACCGAGTTCGAAATTAATCTGGTACGCGTGGGGAAGTCCCGACGCGCACCAGGTTGTTGTTGTTGTTGTCCTAAGGGGCCGTCCATAAATGACGTCACGCACCTAGGGTGGGGGGTGGGGGTCAGACATTTGTGACGATGTGTGACGAGGGGGGGGGGGGTGAGAAATGTGACGTCACATCAAAATGCGCAACTTTAAATAAATATAAACAACACATTCTACTTAATGAAATAGACTTTTTAATAAATGTTTTCTCTTACATCAGAGTGCAGCGCCACATTAAATACGCACAACAATGACCATAGTTTAAAGCGATTTGAAGCGTGTTTATGGTTTGGGGGGGGGGGTGCAGAGCTTTGTGACGTCATTTGAGGGGGGTCAAAAAGCGTCCAAAATCGCGTGACGTCATTTATGGACGTGCCGATCAGTGGTAGGACATTTCTCTACGAGAGTAACACCGGTAACCGTTTGTTCACGCGTGCACCGGTACTGCTCGCAACTGAAACGACTTTCTAAATTAATAAAAATGTAAAATAAAATATTACAGTAATCCTGTACTGTGATAAGGCACCGCAGGGCTCACATTCAGCACGGATTGCAATACTCTAGCGTAGCCACAAGGCGGCGGTAGTCGATGGGTCGCGGATTCAAATGCAAACTCCCTTGTCCATTCACGCGACTTTTTATTTCATTCCTGGCCTCGAGTCTCATTCACATTCGTATCGACACAGATCCGCACATTCGCATTAGGTTTGTTTTCTTAGCCATTGCAACAAAATGTGACATTATATAAGACACTCAACTCTGGCAGTGCCCCTTATTCATAGCAGTTACATTTTTGCGTGGAGTTGTTAAAGAAGAACATCGCTGTTCGGCTATAGCATCCAATAACGGCAGAATAACTATTTAACAATTGTAATTTAAATGGTAAAATGTCGCTGTAATCGAGTTGCCCGACAGCGGATTCTGCCGCTGGCAGATCGCATCGCCATCTATTTATCATTTCAAGAGGCGTGGCTGTAACGGTCCTTGTGTTGCTACAATGTTCTGTACCATCACGATTACTCCTTACATTAATTACTGCATCGTAATGTTTACAATAAAAACTATATTCGTGCATATTGATATCATGGCCATGATCACTTCCACTGCTGAATAAAAGCCTCTTTAAGTAATGTCTCTCACGGCCCAGTGATGTTACAATCGACCTACCAGGTGCATGCGAGCTGATTTCACTGCTCCATCTCCTCAGTGGACGTCTCAGGGGCTCTGCACCTCCCTTGGCAGCGACTCCCTCGCTAGTCTCGACCACGGGTCATAGTGGCCACGGGTCACTATCCTGTCCTGCCCAAGCAGGATTACTTTTAATAACAGAATCAGAATATGTATTTATATACTGGAGGAATCCGATGAGCTATAAAGCTCTTCCTCACATATGTCCAGTAGGGACACGTGTTCGGAACGTCACAATAACAAACAAGATAAAAACACCATAGGAGTGCAAAGTATAAGAAAGGTGAACACATCACTTGAAAAATATTCATATATACAAATAAAAATAAACTATTTTTTTCAGGTAAAACCCATTGAGATATTTAGCTTATTTTCACAACCAACCTGGTTACATAGGTAAGCTCAAAAAAGCGGGTCATCATGTGCAAATTTAAATCAGCAAACTAATCTAAATCATCAACATATAATCTAAATGAATGTTTCTTAATGTGGAGGGAAAACCTGGAGGACCTGGAGAGAAAAAAATCCACGCGACCACGGGAAGAGACAAATGCAAACTCCAACTATACAGGCGTTCGGGTCTGGATCAAACCCATTGACCTCCTGCATACCAGGCTAGGAAGATAACATAACACCACCTTAAATATATAAAGTACTTTAGTTCAAATTGCATTAGTACATCAATTACTAAGCATGGGAATACAGTAAAACAACAGCAAAAGCAGTTTAACACGTAGGCTTTCGCGACCAATATTTTTCATAATCAACGTTTTTGGGTTTAGATCGCGTTATTTATAAATGTGTCGTAACCCTCCACCACCCGACACGGCCAATCAGTTAAAAAGTGTCACGTTGACAAAAGACAAATAGTTCACTGCTTTAGCCCACCGGTGTGTTGAAGCTTGAAATTGTAAATGTTGTGGTTTCACGCTTCAATACACCGGTAGGCTAAAGCAGTGAACTATGTATTTTGTCAACGTGACACTTTTTTACTGATTGACCGTGTCGGGTGGTGGAGGGTTACGACACATTTATAAATAACGCGATCTCAACCCAAAAACGTTGATTATGAGCAAAAGCAGTTACAGTCCACCCAGTAATACACCGCTTTACGTCGGGGATGCGTTCCTGAAAGAGGTGCGGACACGAAAATGGAAGCGACGTCAATCGGAGCGACTCACAGAGTCGACGGGTGAGAGGCGACGGAAACGTTGAAAGGACGGACGACACTGCCAGCGATGTAAGTGTGCGTTGAGGCGATGCAAAAAAGGCGGCGGTATTAATAAAGTGATGCCGTATTTCCGAAACGTCGTAAAACAGTGAGACGTAAATCGGGGTATGACTATTTCTTGTTTGCCTTATAAACTCAGAAACCGCTCGGTGAGCGCCAGAGCGACGTCACGCGGTGGGGAGTCGAACCAGGACGCCAATCTATGGGGCTATGGTGTTTGGTGGAGACTACAACATTATGACTGCACCCAAGACTACAATGCCAAGTGTGAATATATTTTACGGCACACTATATTTCTTTTACTTATGTCAGTTGTTAATGTTAATCTTGTGCAGTATAAACATTATTTTCAATAGAAATGATCTCCGTTTATAACGTGATTGATAATTTACAAAGTGTTTATAGCATTAACTGGTATAAACACTCATGGTATAAACGAGGCACTTGCTACCACGGTGCTACCAACTGTGGCCCATAATGCTCACCACAGAGCAGGTGAGTTCACCCAGACCGGGCAGGTAAGATTTCATATTCTTAGGTTTTCGGTAAAGTCACGTAGGTAAATTTTTTTAAAAATACATTAAAGTAAAATAAAAATAAAATAAAAATCACGTTTGTCACGTAATCAAAACGTTTTGATTACGTGACAAATTAATAAAAGTGAAATAAAAAATAAAATAAAAATCACGTTTGTCACGTAATCAAAATTAATAAAAGTAAAATAAAAATAAAATAAAAATTCACGTTTGTCACGTAATCAAAACGTGACTTTACCGAAAACCTAAGAATATGAATACTTGCAGTCACGAAAGCTTAAAATATAGAATCAGGTAAGATTTCCCAAACCTGGCAGTTGTCATCACCATCAGTTGCTTGAACTGCAAAGTGGATACATTCATTCTAGATTTGAAGCTTTCGTGACTGCAGGGATTCATATTCTTAGTCACGTAGATAAAACATTTTTATTGAAATTAATAAAAGTAAAATAAAAATAAAATAAAAATTATGAGGTTTCGGAGACGGAAGCGTGTGTTGCCTCCGAAACGTCGTGATTTTTATTTTATTTTTCATTTTACTTTTATTAATTTAAATTTTTTATCTACGTGACTTTACCGAAAAAAACTAAGAATATGGATACATTCAATCAGAGGTTACCCACATCGGGTAAGACGGATAAAAGAGCCCTTGGGTAGCGCGTTTCTATTCGTGCCGAGCGGAACACGTGAGGTTGGCCAGGCCGGGCATGGCGAGACGCCCGCTCTGGAGGGCGTGCTGAGCCGGCGGGTTTGAGAGGTGCATCGCCAGCAGCTTCTCCTGCATGAGGGGGTGCCAGGAGCCCAGGGTGCACTCCGGGTTCTGGGTGGGCTCGAAGTAGTGGCACTGCCGCGTGGCACGGCCTCGCGGGGGGATGAAGTCGTAGACGGTCACCTCCTGGCACAGGCTCATCATCAGCGCTACTCCTGCAGCACCACGAGGCAGAGGGGGCGGCGTTAGTAACCACCACCGCGCACACACGCGATTCGCACCAAGTGCTACCACCACTTTGACCTTCGTTTGACCCAGACGGACCGGGGATTGGCACATGTGTTCCGGTCGCAGGAATTGATTTGTACCATGATCAAAGCAGTATTACGTTTAACACGTAGGCTTTCGCTATCAATATCATCCAACACACCAGTGTGCTGTACTAGTGACGAATTGGCACGTTCTGTTTACGTGACAACCCTTACTAGTTGGCTGTGTCGGGTGGTGCCGGGTTTTAACGACACATTTATATATTTACGCGATCTAACCCAAAAACCTCTATTATGGACAGTATTACGTTGTTTATAATAAAGGGTTTTTTTCGGGTTAGATCACGTAAATATAAATATCGTTAAACCCGCCACCACCCGACACAATCAATTAGTAAAGGTTTGTCAAGTGAACAAAAACGTGCCAATTAGTTACTACTTCAGCACACCGCTTGTGTGTTGGAGACTAAACCCACGACATTTAAAATTTGAGTACTATGTGATGTTTTACTGGTAATGTGAACAACCAGCTTCATCAGGCGATTTGCTGGAATTGTGAAGAAAACCCCTTCCCGTTTCTGGCTCTTAAACAGGAGTAACGGAAACATCGCTGCGAGCCCCATCAGCACATCAGCGCATCACGCGTTTCTCGTAAAACTTGCCCAGAAGCCCCGACGAAGTGGGGTTTTCCAAGATGCGCTCCCCGTGCCCCACGTTGTGCTGCACCAGATCCCACAAACCCCGGCGGAAGCACGGGTGCAGCAGGTAGAATGGCTGGCGAGGCCGCTCGCGCCTGCGCTTCATGTATGCGTCGAGCGCCGGGAACGTGATATTCACATGGCCCTTCCACTGCTGTTGCTGCACGGATGAGAGGAGGGGGGTGGGGGCATTTTGGAGTGGAAGACGACAAGGCTTGGTTAGAGGAGGGCAATACGAGGCACTGGCGGAGGAGAAGGCGTAGAGTGTGTGGATGTGACTTGTGGATTGAATGCCGCGGCATGCAGACCCAAGGGCTCCCCATACTTCGGAAGTCCAGACAGAAGATGCATTGTAAATCTGTCCCGTGGTGGCGTTATGTAAATGTCCCGAATGTGGATCGTTGTAAAAATCGGACCGTTACAAACCAGTGACCGTCTGTGAGCCCAAAACCTGACCCTCACAGTAAGCCACGGGAACCCAAGCCCCCTTTCCCGAACCTCACCTTCACGTCGAGTTGCGTAATAGGTGTGAAGGATTCTTGTGTTTTGTGAACGCTCACGTTTTTCTCAGTGCAGGTATATGGAGGGGGGCCCCACAAGACCAGAATGATGTCTCTGTACAGCTCGCTCGTCTCAAAGTTGAACTTCTCCTGATTTACGATCTAGAAAGCGAGATAAGTGGAAGGAATGTGGCAGGGTCAGTGATGAGACATTGAGATGTGGTCTACTGTAGTGTAACTGCCTGCGGTGCTACAAATCACCACGTTGGACTGTCCACCGCTTGGACTATTCCTGATGTGTATTCTAAGCTACTAGACTATAACCGAAACAATGCTCCAGAGAAAACTACTAAACTATCCAGTTTTTTTTGCATTTTTCCAGGTCGGCCCATTGAATTATATCAGAAGTGACCAGGCCACACATTGATAGCTCAACAACGTGGCACACCAGGCCAGGCAGTTAGCATCCCCTGTGTTGAAATCATAAGTCATTCCCAAAACAATAAAGCAACTCTGAGTGTGTTTAACCACGGCGCTGCCGTGGTTGAATGGTTAATCCACTGGACTTGCAATCCAGAGGCCGCTGGTACGATTGCATCTTCCATATTCTAGCGTGGTAAAACGTTTAATAATACCTCTCTCCACACGTGAGTATAAATGGGTTCACCACAGTTCGTAGATCAATGAGTCGTACGTGGTGGGGTAAAGCGTGATTATTCCAACCTCTCACAACACACCTGGTCAACGTGGAAGCGGAGATCAAATGCCGTGTACGCCAGTGGCTCCCAGCCTTTCGCGGCACCTGTACCCCGTGTTCAACCGAGTTCCCCCTTTGCCTGCCCCAACGTGGTTCTAAGAAATAAATGTACGAAAGATGAACATCGATAGTTTCACCAATTTTTAATATTTGCGGGGTATCCTAACTAGCTGGTAACTGCAAGCGAATAAAAATAAATCAACGGACGCTCTGCACGCGTGAGGTAATTTGTTTTCGCTCGTTGGTTACTCTTGTAAACCACATTGCATACGATCAATGAGTTTTGAAAGGTCCTTTTACATCGTTCCAGGTTACCATGTGGATTAAAATTTAATGGGAAATATTTAATATTGGCAGATTCATACGTGATTATTCACCAATTACTCTCACGTATGATATAAATTCTCGTATTAATAAATCACCTCCCGTAGCCCCAGGGATCCCCGTCAAACCGGTTGAGAACAACGGCTCTAGAGTTTCCTCCTTCCGCCCGAGGTGGTGTTAGCAAGTAATTAAAAAGCTGCATTTTTAATTCACACGCTGGGTGAATGAAACGAATTCCGGCCCTGGGGCCTAGTTCGTAAGTCGGAACACACGAATGTACCGTTTTTAAATCCTTTATATTAAGTTCACTTGCTTGCTTGCTTGCGCGCTTACGACTGTGTAAATCTTTCGGTCATTTTTTAACCCACTTCCCGTGATCCAATCGAGCTGACATTTTGCACAGACTCGTTGTGCGTGACATTTTATTTTCGTAAAAAAATTTTCCCAAAATTTTCCACTTTTTAGGGAAAAAAGTCATATTTTATTTAAAATACCAATGTGATAAAAATGAAACTCTTACTCAAGAAAAACAGAAATTAATAATAAAATAAAACCGATGCCACGCATATAAAGGATTTATAGTGAAAAACTTTATTTTTACGGGTAATTTTTTTTTTAATTCACATGGAGTCAGTGTTATTTAAAATGTGTTACGGTTCAACAAAGGGAAGCATTTTATTAGTTTTTTTCGGTAAAGTCACGTAGATAAAAAAAATTTTAATTAAAGTAAAATCAAAATAAAATAAAAATCACGACGTTTCGGGGGCAACACAAGCTTCCGTCTTGAGATGGAACCGTCACAGCACGATAGCTGTATCAAGTAAGAAAAATTCCAAGAAAACAGTCCTTGTATATATACTGGTTGAGGGTGGGAGGAGCCAAGGTGGGTCCTGAACATTATTTTTGTGAGGTTCGGTACGGCTGACTTTACCGAAAAAACCTAAGAATATGAATCCTTGCAGTCACGAAAGCTTCGAATCTAGAAAGGGAAGCATTGTTGAACTCAAAAATTTGAAATATTGGAAATTTGCATGTAAAACTGGAACTAGTTCCATGATTCGGTTCGCAAGTGCAAGTTGAGGTTCGCAGGTCAGGATGGTAAAAACACGAATATCCTTATGGAAGCTCGTTCACAAGTCGGGCAGTCGAAAGTCAACAGCTCCTTTGCGTTGCAATACCCAACCACTCCGACTCACATCAATGAGATTATATCTTCCAGGGTGTACAATGGCAGTGGCTATCCAAATCTGGTCACATCAATAGCAGCCCCGCAGACACTCACAACACATTTCACATCGAGGGGTCACAGGGAGTACACACTGGCCAGAAACCTTGGAAGAGGTGTGGGTACCCACGCTTTACCCCACCACACACGACCTGACAACCAACTGTCATGTACTCATTTCGCCTGCTGGGTGTACAGGGGTGCGGAGATTCAAGAAACTTGCCGACTGTTACAACTTAGGCGCTGGAATATCAAACAGGCGACCTCTGGATTGCAAGTCCAGCTGTGCTAACTTTTACACCACAGAAAGTGTATGCCAGTAGAGTGACTAACTCGGAGAGAGTAAGACTTGGAGGCACTTCTTCAATTAGCAAGCACCTTCGGGATTAAACACTATTATTAAGACCGTCTATTGTCGGCGGCACTACTTAGAACAGTTGGTCGGCTGTCTGACTAGCGGCGCCCCGGGATGGTAAAGACGGAGACGACGACGAGGAGATGGTGATGGCGACGAGATGGTGACGACGATGGACTCGAGCAGCACCACGAGGAACATCCCACTTCCAGCAACAGCCCCGAGGTCCCTCACAGCGGCCCCTCTTAGACCCCCCACGTGGCCTCGCTCTGCCCCGGACACGCCCCCTTTCTGGAACCTACTAGCGGGTTCCCGAGGCTTCACGATGGGCCCCTTCTGTGACCTTTTCCCCATAGATATCCTCTTATCGTGTATATCATGGCCTGCTGACGTCAGTACTGCCGTAAACCGCAAATCCCCCTTTTCGCCAGCAGCCCACGCTATGCCACTACACCAGAGTACTGTGTACTTAAAGAATAATAATAACGACGTATAGCCCTTCGTCAATCCACTGTTGGATGTAGGCCTCCGCATTCTGAGTTAATCGTGAGCGTTGTTTGACCATACTTCACCACAATTGTAAGTGTCACCCGTCCCCTCCTCTCACCCACGTTACCATATTTTACGAGTAACTATACTGTCACTAAAACGTAATTTTTAAAGTTACTTTTGTGGTTAAGTGTCAGACAATGGCAATACAAACTGCGCCATGCATTTGTTTCTGTGCATTTTCTATGGCTGTAATTGTATCTGGACGTCTGTGAAAAAAATACTTTATAGCTCATAGGATTCCTCCACTATAAAGAAATATTTTTAATTCTCTATTTTTTTAAACAAATTGCCCACCAATATCCTCCTTAACCCCTCCCCCCCCAAGTCCTTTACTATCCCCGGTGCTGTGCGGAGAAAATAATTCACATTCAGTACGAGGCACCTAAATTCTTCGTCTAAATTTGCATACTGTTTGGCAACACAAGTGCGCTTGGGGCAAGACATCACTGTAAGGGACAATGGTCCATAAAGAAGAGACGCCCAAGGAATTCAATATTTAAGACAAATACGTCTACCGGGGCGGCGGCTGGAGGTGGTGGTTGTGGTGGGCAAGGTGCGGCGATGTCATCGGCAGGTGCTGGGTGGATTGTTAACATCCTCAGCATCGTGAGATGGCAGCGGATTGGGAAGACTTTCATCCAGTAGCGGATTGATCATGGCTAATGATGATTTATCAGGGAAGAATGCCCCCCCCCCCCCAATGTTGTCTGAACGACCCGTAGAACAAATACGCATGTAAGCATGTTGAACTTCTTTCACACCGTACGTAGCCAACCATGCTAATCGGAGGTGCGGGAAATAAGTCTAGTCAAAAGATGCTTTCATACTTTTGAGGAATGTTAACAATATCATTAGACTAAGAATACGTATTTATACTGGAGGAATCCGACGAGCTATGAAGCTGTTCCTCACAGATGTCCAGTAGGAGCACGGGGTAAGAACGTTACAACAACAAACACGACAAAAACACGATAGGAGTGCCATGTGTAGGAAAGGTAAAAACAAATACAGATACAACTAAATTATATTTATCAAACCAGTTAAAGCCCACCGGGAGGCATTAACTTATTTTTCAGGAGCAACCCGGCCACAAGTGACAGCTCAACAAAGTTTCGACCTTACCTGCCAGTTGACGAGGCGAATGGAGGTCTTGGTGCCCACGTGAATTTCATAGCCGGCCGTGGGTGCCGAGTTGAAGCGCATGACCGCGTCGTGGCCATCTGGACGAGCGCACAAGTGGATACATTCCTGATTCGAGGTTCAATTCGTGATCCTGCCCGTCACTCTCATGGTCAAATGTATCACTCAGGTGGCTTTGCTGATCGAGTAACGTATTGACAGTGGTGCACGAGTACAAATAACAATTGCCAAGAAGACTTTCCTTAAAATGTAAAAAACATAACGTCATCAGCAATGATTTTGTCAATGGACCTTTTTCATAGCACATAAATAGAGACAAGAGAGATCAAGTTAATCATAGTTGGGGACTGCACCATATGGCCTGATAACGATATACATTTTTAAGGTTTCCTAATAATCATTTGGCATATGATAACAGACAAACCCTTCAATAATTAAAAATATATACCTCAATTATTTGTATTAAAAATAAAAGTTAGAATATTCCAAGTACATTGCATAATAGTAACAATGTTGGTGTGTTGCTTAACACTAAATAACCATTCCTGGGCCTAATTATTAATTTCCATTGCATCAAAGGGCTTTCAATAAACATTAGGCTCAGAGGGGCTTTTAACTGTTTTCAAATTCCCTGAACCTTGCAAGCAATCTCAACTCTCTCAGACCCTTCCAAGCCCGAGGCTCTACAGCTGCCTCCAGAGTTTGTCCATTCAGAAGAAATTCCTCACCCTCCCCCTCCCATCATTCCGCTCCGATCCCTCCTCATCAGTCGCCCCCCCCCCCCCCCCACGTCTCCTCACCGATCTCTGCTCCCAGCTGAGCGCGCAACAGGGACCCCGCGTTCATCACCACGGCGCATCGCTGCCACTTCCCCGCCAGCTGCCGGGCGAGGGACACCGCGGGCAGCGCGTTGCGCCCCGGCGCCCCGGCCGCCTCGTGGCGCCGCAGCACCTCGGTGCCGCGCCGCACCAGTCCCTGGAGAGCGCACAGCAGCTGCCCCCGGGGGGGCGTCGCCCCTACGCCGTCGCTGCGCCGCCGATTCCAGCTCTCCCACGCGCGGGTCATCTCCACGTGAACGGGGCCCGACGGCGCCCTGCGTGACCCTCCCGCCCCCTCGGAGGGCGCCGCGGGCCGGGCGAGTGGAGGCGCTTGCGTCCGCTCGTCGGTCGGGTCCCGCGCGGGGAGGGTCAGGGGCGCCGCCGTTCTCCTGGAGCCTGGCACCAGCAGCAGCAGCGAGAGCAGCATCAGCAGGCAGGTGGCGGTGACCGTGAGAGCGAGGAGAGATTTGGGACCCACTCGGAACCACATATCCGCTGGATCGCGCCTCGGCTCCGATGGGAGAGACTCTCTGGAGCAAGGCGCGCGTCTCGCTCCTTCGTTCCGCGCAGGTGCGTGCACGAGACGGCGGTGGGGGCGGCGGTGGGGGTGGGAGGAGGTCTTGAGGAGCCCCGAGAATCCACGGCAGGAGACGCGCGCGCAGCACGCGCCTTGATCGCCTCCCGATGGAATTTGCGCGCCTATGTCTCCACCATCGATTCCACGTGTTACGATCTGTGTTACACACACGGGTATAGCTTATTCAGGAGTGTGGGGATGGTAGACAACTTCTTTTCTTTTTCTTCTTCTTTTCTTTCTTCTTTTCTTTTTTCTTTTTCTTTTATATATAAAAAAGTCTCCACGCGCTCGCACTTGCGGGGAATTTGGCTCTGGAACGGTGGACTATATTTAGAAAAACAATTGCCAGGCAGCACGCCCTAAGCCCCTCGGTGGGAATAGGCTATTCCGTCTTCCCATCCGTAAACTTTAAAGTAGTTTAATTAACACATTTGTGCCGTTTCTATTTTTATTTATTTACTTATTGCGCGACATCGACCGTACCAACTAACGCCAATTGCGGGGGGGGGGGGGCGGACCCTGCCAAGTGCTGCGCCTTCACTCGAGCTCACGGGGGACATTTCCTTTTACGCCTTTTACAGGCAACACATACACACATAACGCTGCAGACATTTCTTCACAGTGTGATGTCCTACTGATGGTATCAGTTAAACGACGACTTTGTGAAGTTTCATGTTCTCGGTGAGAACTGTATCGCACACACACACACTGCTTTGCTACTTTTCCAAGGTTATTTGCATCATGCCACGGTACATCAATGGAATGCTGTGCGTTGCCACTAGAATAATTGTGAAAACCATGGGCTTATGGTCGGGGTGTAATCCGAACTGGTTGTTGTTGTTGTTGAAGTGGCTACTGTGCCCAAATGGCAGTCACTCGTCGCCCTTGAGGGCAGACCCCAGTGACTTGGCGTGCCGACTGTTTGGTTCGACTCCACGTTTCTGTGGTCTGTCTCCTATGGCGCTGTCTTCACAACATTCAGTGACATGCAACAATACCTACGCGTTTTCACACATCACCAGTACAAGCCATTAGTTTTGTTTCTATATTTCCTATACTACCTCGCCTGGTATGCAGGCGGTCGTGGGTTCAATCCCGACCCTGACGCCTGTAGTATATTTAGAGGTTACGTGTCTCTCTCCTCGGGGTCGCGTGTATTTTTCTCTGGGTCCTCCGGTTTTTCCTTCCACATTCATAATCAACATGCGTTTAGAGTATTTGGCTGCTATAAATGTCCACGTGATAAGCCACTTTGTTGAGCTATCATTTATGACCAGGTCGCTTCTGAAAAAGAGCTATATAGCTCAGTGGGCCTTACCTCACACACACACATACAACCACACATTGATCCTAAACACACATGAACTTACACACACACATCGACTAAGACACACACACACACATGAACTTACACACACATGGAGCAATGCACACACATCGACTTACACACACAGACTCACACACACAACAACCGCCATTGGCCACTAAGTGGCAGTGACATCACCATGACGCGTGTGCAAGGCTATGTGCACCTTGAGGCCACGTGACGTTTCGAACGCTCGCTGGCAGGAGGTCACGGGGCAGACCCAAATGCTACAGGTCGACTGACTGAGACGACTGGCTGATGCACCACCTGTGTCCCTACTGTGCCAACTTGGTGTGCTTTAACCACCCAGCGCTCCGCTCGTTGTTGTGAGCGTCGCTCCTCCGCCCCCCGTTGTTGTTGGAGGGCGACTGCCTCCAACTGCCCAGTAGCGTCCTTCACGAGCCTCCTCCACTGAGGCCGATTTTGACACCGCTGGTACTAGTCATCGTTAAATCCACTCAGCTCCACGTCCTCATATACCACATCACTCCATCTCCTCTCCAGCCCATGCCGCGCCCGTTTAGCCCCCTCGATCCGGCCGAACAAAAGCTGTTTAGGCATGCGGTGGCTGGGCATGCGGGCTACATGACCCAGCCAACGCAGCCTTGCCTGCCAGAAGAGCTCACCGATGGGACTTTGCCCAGATCTTTCAAGGATTTGTGAGCTCCTCACACAATCCAGCCGGGTTAAACCCAGGATGGATCGTAGGCAGGCCAGCCTAAATGTTTCCAACCAGCGAAGATTCTCCATTAGGGGGGTCCACATTTCACCAGCGTAGAAAAGGGAGGGAATGACCGTGGCCGAGAAGACCTGAAGCTTTGTGTGGAGCGACAGACCAGGTAGCTTCCACACAGCGTTATGCAACCGATGGAAAGATATTGCCGCTCGACTGATTCGGATTGAGATCTCTGCTGTTAAACTGGAGCCAGTCATAAGCACACTGCCCAGGTATGGGAAACTCTCCACTCTCTCCACTACTGCCCCATCACCGATTGGGAGTTGTGGGGGTGGAGTGTCCGATGGTACAAAATACCCAGGAAGGTGCTTAGTTTTGGTGGGGCTGATGGTAAGGCCCCACCTCTTAGTAGGCACTCACACACACACATCGACTGACAGACACATCGACTGACACACACATAGACTCGAACACACACATGGACTTACGCACACACTTGGACTTACACGTACACATCGACACACACACACAAACATCGACGAACACACAGATGGATCGACTTGCGCACACACACACACACAAAGCGACCGTCGTTGACACGCAGATGGACTCACATGAACACGAGGACATAGGCACACATAAATTGTGAGAAATTAGTTTTCTGCACACAAACATAATTATTCGTATAAATGCAAGGTGATTATAAAAAATAATAGGTTTTAATGTACGTAAGTTTATTGAAAGCAGAAAATGATATAATATTATTGTGCACACAAACGATATTACGTTAATATTTCCAAGGTTATGTAAATGATAGGTTTTTACGTACATGCGTTTAGCAAAATAAGTAAGAAAATTAAGTAATATTTGTGTGCAAGCAAAAACAGGTAATTTATTATTTACAAGGTGATTACTTAGAGAATAGGTTTTTATCTACGTGAGGTTAGCGAAAGAAGCAATACAAAAGTTGTCTGCACACAAACAAAATGATTATTATCTTTCCAAACCAATTGTTTTAATATAAAATTTTCTATGTATGTGAGTTTAGCGAAAGAAGAAATAAAATTGCACTTAACTTTACCGTGGTGAGGCCTAGTCCCATGCAGAACCCGCAGCCTCGCCTAGATTGTACAGCCGGCCGAGGTGGCTCCCTGGCAGGCTGTGGGCTGGGCCACTCCCCCCGCCTGTGCTACAATAATTATTATCAAAGCGCTATATAATATAAATGGAGAGACTCTATAGCAGTAACTGCACGCATTGGGGTGAGGGGGGGGGGGTTCATGACATTTAGAAGAATTAACAGCATTTTGTGTGAAATGTCCCCCTCACCTCAACCGACTTGGTAAAAGCCATCCCCCCCACCGAACGTATGTAACTTGGTACGGTCAATCGTGCGCCATTTAATTAATAAATGCTAACTGCACAAAATCGCTAATTAAAGTGATTTAAAGTTGACAGATGGGAAAAAGGAATAGCGCTTGCACATGGCGGGGCTTCCGGTGTGGGACCTGGCTATTTTTTTCACGTAAACCCCACCGTTGGAAAGCCAAGCGCGCAACCACGCAGAACCCCACACACAATTTTAGACTTTTATATATATAACTAGCGGGAAGTACCCGCTGTTGCCCGGGGCGAAAAATGTATTTCAAAACTTATCTTGAAAACCTTACATAAACATACACAATTACTAAGGTATACGGGCTGATATAATAGGGCTACGACATGCACCATCTCTTCATCATCTGCACCTGCAACCCGCACTCCTGAGGACGCTCTCTGTCCTTGGGCTTCTCCGAGGCCAACGTCGGAGACCGCATCGGCACCGTGGTTGCAGAGGTGGCAGGGGCCGCCGTTCACAGGTCGACCTCGAACCAGCCAACTCCTCTGTTCCCTCGACGCCTCACCTGCACGGATCTTCACATCTACCTTCACATATCCGCCTCGGTCTGCTCAACGCACGCTCCATCACCAATAAATCAGCCCTGATTCACGATACCATCTCGGACCACCACATCGACCTTTTGCTCATCACTGAGACCTGGTGCAGGCAAGACTCCCCGCCAGCTATCTCTCTGGAAGTTGCGCCCCCAGGATACAAGGTTCTACATAAACCTCGCGCAACTAACCAGCGGGGTGGTGGCTTAGCGGTCGTTTACAATGCTCACTTGAAAATTAAAGAGCTCCATCTACCAATGGCTCAGGCCACATTCGAGGTCCAGTCCGTATCCCTTACTACTAACAACGAGTGCTTTTACATTATTTCCATCTATCGCCCTCCAGATGGCAGCATCAACACCTTCGTAAATGAGCTTTCGGAATTCCTATATCTGATTCCTAACCCATCTCACAGGCTCGTGCTTACAGGCGACTTCAATTGCCCCGGCAATACCCCAGCCTCCATCGATAGTCACCTTGAGTCAACTTTGGCCTGCCATAACCTGGTCATCACAAACTCAGGCCCCACCAGAGCTTCGTCAACAAACGTTGAGAGCATGCTCGACCTGGTTCTGGAACCTAACCAGCACCGACGCATCACTGCACTGGGAGTTTTCCAAACTGGTTACTCCGACCACCGCCTTATACTTTCTTCCCTCCATTTTCCGAAGCCAATCACCATCAAATTCACCTGCAACTTGCGTAATTTTAAGGGTATCGAATTTTCTGCTTTTCGTCACCTCCTTGCAAACTCGCTTTCAATGTTATCCCCATCATCGGATCCAACCGTCTGCGCTCTCCAACTAGAAGCTGACATGAGAGCGGCGCTGGACAAACTAGCTCCATTAAAATCACGAACCGCTAGGCAGTCTTCTCACGACACTCACTGGCTCTCAAGAGATGCCATCATTGCTAAGCGAACCAGGAGGCGTCTTGAACGTATCGCATCCCGCAGTGGTCTACCTGCTGATCGACTTGCTTACAGAGTCGCCTGCAGGAAAACTAACAAACTGATCCTTGTCTCACGTTCCTCCCACATTGAGGAACGCATCAAAAAAGCAACCGGAAACCCGCGCATTCTATGGAAAACTCTCAAAGATCTTCTCCATCCTGGTAGCACCATGGTCCCTCACCTTAGCGATCCCCTTGCCTCACTGAAACTTGCCACCTCTTTTAATACTTACTTTAACAACAAGCTAATCGCCATCGCAAACTCGTGCACGTATACTGACACATTGCACCTTTGTACCCCGCTCATGGTACCTAAAATTGTAAGCACTAACCCAGACACTCTTCTAACTATGCTAAAGCCTGTGTCTACAAAAGACGTTTTCGCTTTAATTGAATCACTTCCTTTGAAGTCATCTCCACTCGACGTGCTCCCAGGTTCCTTGTTCAAGCAATGTGCTCCGGAACTCGCCATCATGATCAGGAACATCGCAAATGCCTCCTTCTCTTCGGGGTGTTTTCCGTCCAACCTCAAATCTGGCCTGGTTTCTCCCTTGTTAAAGAAACCAAATCTAGATCCGGATGACCCATCTAGTTATCGTCCCATCACTAACCTCTCGAACCTCTCTAAACTCCTTGAACGACTAGCCCTCGCCCAGCTACAACCACACGTCACCTCCTCCGCAAACTACTGCAACTTCCAGTCAGCTTACCGTCAAAACTATTCCACAGAAACAGCACTCACTAGGGTGCTCGATGACATTTTAACGATCGTTGATTCCGGCTCAACTGTTGCACTTGTAAGTCTGGACATTTCGTCAGCCTTCGACACCATCAACCATTCGCTCCTTACTTCCCTCCTGAAATCCGACTTCGGTATATGCGGCTCAGCACTCAAGTGGATAGCTTCGTACCTTTCTGACCGGCAATCCTCAGTCAGGGTGGGCATGTCCACATCGCCTGAAACAAGAGCATTATGCGGGGTTCCCCAGGGCTCTGTTCTAGGTCCCCTGCTCTTAATAGCCTACACTTCCCCGATCGGCCGACTCATTGCAAGCTTCGGTGTTAAGCATCACTCATACGCGGATGACACGATTCTATTCACCGCCATCGATTCTAGCAATGCATCTGGATTCGAGAGGCTCTCGGAATGTACCACCGCCGTGCAACAATGGATCACTGCACACAACCTAGCCCTTAATCCGAAAAAGTCAGTGGCCATCATGTTAGGTACCAAGCAACGTCTCAATTCAGCAGCACTCCCCACACACATACACATCTTCGGTCATAGCATCAAGTTCACCAACCACTTCAGCTACCTCGGTGTCATCCTAGATTCAACTTTATCCTTCGACCGTCAAACCAACCATATCATCAGCTCATGTAACTTTCACCTGAAGGCTCTTAGACACATACGTCCTCTCATCTCTACTGAAATTGCCAACACTTTGGCATGTTGCATAGTTGGGTCTCGCCTTGACTATTGTAACTCCGTCCTTGTCCGGACCTCCGCTGGCAACCTAAGGAAGCTTCAAAGACTACAAAATAACCTAGCACGCGTCGTCATTGCCCACACTCATCCCCGCCTCGACTCACTAGCTCGTCTCCGCACTCTCAACTGGCTCCCCATTGCCAGTAGGGTCACATACAAGACCGCCTGCCTCTGCCACAATGCCTTCATATCCGCCTGCCCGCCGTATCTTTCTTCATTACTGACAACTTGCAGCTCAGCACACGGCAGATGCCTGCGCAGCGCGACTCACGACCTCCTCTCAATACCAAGATCCAGGATGGTCACGTCTATGCGCCGCTTCTCGGTGGCAGCCCCAACAGTCTGGAACGATATCCCTCTGCACATTCGCAGCATCACCTCAATCGCCTCCGTCAAGAGACACTTAAAAACTCACCTCTACAATCATGCTTTTGAGCGACTCTGAGCTTGGCTCCGCGCCTCTGAGTTGCGGCCACTACGTCTGCAAATTTGCTGCGCGTTACAAATTGTACTATTATTATTATTATTGTGAAAGCCCAGGGGGCAGTTTGGCCATTTCTCCACCAATAAAATAAGAGGTTGGCAGAAGTCCAAAAAGTTATAGAAAGTGGGGGGTTAAATAGTTGATGTAAAAGGTTACCGAAAATTGTCGACCCCCCCTCAAATATGTATTTACCCCCGCCTAGGTATATATGCCTACATACCGTACCTACAATAGAGTAAGTAGTATCTATTGACTCTGTAGTTGTATCTACTAACTGTACAGTAGTATCTACTGAGCCAGTAGTAACTTCTGACTGTATCGTAGTATTTAATGACTGTAGCAGTATTTACTGACCGTAGGGGTATATACTGACTCTATATAGCAGTATCTGCCAACTCGATAGCATTATCTACTATCATTACAGCAGTGCATACCGACTGTGGTGGTACCAGCTATCACGACAGCAGTGCATACCAACTGTGGTGGTGCCTGCTATCACTGCAGCTATGCATACTGACCGTGGTGGTACCTGCTTTCACTGCAGCAGTGCATACCCACTGTGGCACCTGAAGTTGATGGAAGTGAAAAAGAATAGCGCTTGCTCAAGGTGGGGCGTATAGCGTGGTACCAGGCTCTTTTAATCCCCCTCACTCCCACCTAAAGCGTGCGACTTTGTATGGCCCCCCCCCCCCCACCAAAGACGTGTGAGTTGGTATGGTCGTGCACACGTCATAAATAGATAAATGTGAAGCGCACAAAAATCGCACTAAATCGCTAATTAAAGAATTTTAAGTTGACGGATGTGAAAAAGGAATAGCGCTTGCTGTCCGCGGAGCTTACGGCGTGGTACCTGGCTATTTTTTTTTACATTAACCCCACCGTAGGAGAGCCAAGCGCACGGCCATACACAAACCCACACACAAACCCACAAATACAGCCATAATTTTGACTTTTATCTTTTTAGAAGATAGATACGATTTCTGTATTTATTGTTCAGCAGGTTACGTAACATTGTGTTTACAAAGACTAAAATGCGAAATTTCATTATTACTTTGCAGAAAAATTACATCTGTTGTCGAGTGTATGGTGAACCTTCAGGGGTACCGTATTATGTTCGGTGTGAATGTGTGGGGAGAGGTAGTGTAGCAGTTAGCGCGCTGTGCTACGAACCCAGCGACCCAAGTTCGATTCCCGCTCACGGCTAACACCCAGTGACGATTGTCTGAACTGGTCCTGGGCCTCCCTTAGGTCGACTCAGCCTTAAATGAGTATCTGGTGCAGTGTGTAAATATCGCCACTGGGGAGACAAAGGCGGCCGGGCGTGGTGTTGGCCACCCACCCCCTTGTGTGCCGTGCCGGCCTTTATAGGTGCTCGCTAACAGCACTTTCCCCGACAGTCTGTTAAGGCTATATGGGGGATCTTTTATTTATTAGTGTACCTTTAAGTGGTGTCTAGGTATCATACTCTTTCTATCATACTCATGTCTAGGTAGTTCGGAGTCTCAACTTTTGCAGCTTCAGAACCCAAACTGGACATCTCGCATGAATGGGATCGTGCAGTTTACAATCACGAGCCAAGCCGATGGTTAACACCCCCAGTAGAATACCACGCCACGTTCCAGAACTTTTCTCAACACGAGCCAATGACGCCCACGGGTAGGAAAACTAAACAGGCTAACCACATTTTTTATTATTATTTTATTGTTTGCCTTCTACGTGACTTTACCAAAAGAACCAATAATATGAATCCCTGCATTCACGAAATCTTTATATCAAAAGGTTAACCACATTCTTTATTCATGCGAAGAGCAGTGGTATTCAATGTATTTGCTGAAGGCTTTGCAAATACAATCACAAGCAGGGTGGGGGGGGGGTCACAGGGTGCAGGTCTACCCGAGTGTGCCATTTGAACGGAGAGGCAGGATGAGTGGTGTGGCAGAGGATTCCAACAGCCGCCAACGCTGGGGAATTATTCGCCTCGGATCTGTGAATGCGCCGAGGGTGCTGCAGTTTTTAAAACATTACTTTTAAAAGATATTTGTTTAAATGTTTGTGTGCGTATGTATGTTGAGCTTCTTATAACTTAGCTTTGCACCTCGATGATTTTCCATCTCTCTTTTACAATTCGATTTTAAAGTGTTTGCATGGTGAAGGTAGAGTGGGGGGGGGGGGGGGGTGAGAGGCCTCTTTTAGTCGTGGTGCGAACCGAAGTGGCGTCTTGAGCCACGATGAGGTGGAGGTGTGGACTGGCGCCCTCCTGCACAGGCCCTGCTGCTGCTGCTGCTCGTGTCTGCTGCTCAACAGACGGACCACACGCGAGCAGCAGGACAAAGAGGCCTTGTGCCCCACATTGGCCCTTTACTCCGCCCGACGATATTTGAGCACGTGTGTTTGTCATCTCATTGCACAGTGGTTCTCAAAAATGCTTCCATTCCTGTTTTTTTTCACAACTGTATTTATATAATTGCACACTTTATTCATCAGAAGTGCATTTCTAACGAGTAGTATTTATATTACGTTTAATATTGATTTAATGGTTGTTTCGTGCGTTTGTATGTTGAACTTTCGAACCGTACGTAGCCAACCGTGCTAATCTGAGGTGTGAAAACGATGTCTTTATTTCTGTGCAGCTTCTCGAAGCGGATTTTATTGCTTTGCGCCAGATAAAAATAAATGGGGTTAGTGCAAAGATTACGTCACTGACCCTATCCATGCATTGTCCAATTGGATGCACCACATCATAATAAACAACTTTTGTAAAGACACCAAAGCATTTAATGTGACTGTTTACCTAAATAAATAATAAAGTAGTACAAAATTATGTTCTGGGCGAGTTTCGAAGTATCGACTCCTACGTTGGTATTAATATTTTTTTATTCACAAAACATGTTCGCAAAACACTCGTCGAATAAGGCTTCCATACAAAATTTGAATTGCTTCAAACGAGGCAAGTAATTAATTGATGCCGATTTTGATTCAGGCATGCATTGTCTCTGGATGTATGTGTGCAAAATTTGGGATCGATTGGATGACGGGAACTGAACGATATTTTGATTGCAAGATTTGACCACGACATACAAACAGAGGAATTAATATTGATTTCAAGCTTTCGTGACTGCAGGGATCCATACTCTTTGATTCTTTCGGTGAAGTTACGTAGGTATAAAAAAAAGCAAGAAATATTTTTTTAACTTTTTTTAAAACACGCTTTAATGAATTGTACCGTACGAGTAATGTCAGGACTCCAGGAAGTGGCCCCGAAGCTTTCCATAGTGTAAGGGGCCGTGGCCAATTACAAGTCAGTTGAGCGTGGACAATTACACCCAAGCCGAAACATAACATAAAAAATGTTTAAAACTATATATTTTTCGTTTTTATGATAGAATATAGTATTGTTATCAGTATGACGTAAGTATACCAAGTTTGTAGTCGATACCACATTGGGAAGTGGGTTAAAATTGAGTTACAAGATATGAGGATACAACAACAGTGAGTTAAATAAAAGCGTGTAAGACAATGAGAGGCAAGCCAAAACATAACGTAGAAAAAATAACGTTTACATTTTTTTTATGGAATATAGTATTGTCATCAGTATGACATAAGCATACCAAGTTTGCAGTCAATACCACATTGGGAAGTGGGTAAAAATGTAGTTACAAGATTTGAGGATACAACAACACAAATTGAGTTTAAAAAACCTGTGTAATCAAATAATAGATTACAACGTTTAGATCGCAACACAAGCAAGTCTTTCGGTGCCTCAGCAGATTCCTCTCGTTATTTACTGAAAAAACCAAAGAGTACAGAGGAATTAAGTGGAAAAACTTTGTTTCACAACTTCGTTCAACTCACCCTCGAGAAGTACGTCAATGATGCGGCGCCAGCTCCCACATGAACGCTTACTTTAATTGATTACTTTATAATTGAATCTTCAATGGACAACTTTTGTTAGTGTGGAGTAAGGGTGGACGTAACTCGTTCACACGGCGCAGGTGTGCCTTAGACACTGAGCAGGCGCGCCTGAGACACGTGGCGCCTGCCTCTAGGGCGAGGTGATTAGAGAGTTTAGGAACGGCAACGTTTTTGACCTACACAAATATATATTTAATAAGGCGTCCATACAAACTCTTTGGTTCTTTCGGTAAAGTCACGTAGATAAAAAATTAATAGATCACGACGTTTCGATCGCAACACAAGCGACCGTCTTCAGGTGAAGGTGAAGACGTTCGCCTGTGGGTCGCTTGTGTTGCGATCGAAACGTCGTGATCTATTGATTTCTACCTATGTTACTTTACCGAAAGAACCAAAGAGTATGGATTCCTGCAGTCACGAAAGCTTCAAATCAAGATCGTCCATACAAATGTTTTTATTGATTTCAAAGAGCCAATTAATTGAATAATTGCTGACGACAGGCATGAATTGTCTCCGGATCTGAGTACGTGTGCAAAATTTGGAATTAATTGGACAACAGGAAGTAGACTAAATTTTGATTACAAGATTTGATCACGACCAACATAGGAGTGAAGTTAAATAAAACCGTTGAATAACACCGTTATAAAATAAAAAATATATATACTAAAGAACATGTTCCTGGCAAGTTTCGAAGTCTCGACTCCTACGTTGATATTAATATTTTTTTCCACAAAACCTGTTCGACTCCTACGTTGGTATTAATATTTTTTTTCACAAAACCTGTTCGCAAAGCACTCGTGGAATAAGGCTTTCTTACTAAATAATGATTGCTTTAAATGAGCCAAGTAATTTACTCATTGATGCCGATTTTGATTCAGGCATGCATTGTCGATTCCACGTGTTACGATCTGTGTTACACACACGGGTATAGTTTATTGAGAAGTTTGGGG